CTGGGACTTGGCTATCATGTCATCAACATAAACTTCTATCTCGTGATAGATCATGTCATGGAACAAAGCTACCATGGCACACTGATATGTTTCACCGACGTTCTTCAACCCAAAAGGCATAACCTTGTAACAGAAAGTGCCCCACCGTGTGACAAAAGTAGTCTTCTCCATGTCTTTAGGCGCCATCTTGATTTGATTATAACCTGAGAAACCAGCCATGAAGGAGAATACCTTGTGCTGAGCGGTGTTGTCTACCAGAACATCAATATGTGGAAGTGGAAAGTCATCTTTGGGGCTCGCCCTCTTCAGATCCCTGTAATCTACACACATACATGCTTTGCCATCTTTCTTTGGTACCGATACCAAATTTTCAACCCACTGAGGATAGGATGTAATAGCCAAGAAACCTGCATTGAATTTCTTCATAACCTCAACCTTGATCTTTTTAGACATTTTGGGATGCATACGACGAACCTTCTGCTTTATTGGAGAATAACCCTCTTTCATCGGTAGACAGTGAACCACAATATCAGTATCAAGCCCTGGAATGTCTTTGTACAACCAAAAAAATATCTCGACATACTCTTGCAACATCTGAATTAACCTGTTCTTGATACTATCCTCTAGATTGGCTCCTATCTTAACTTCTTTCCTGTCTGATTCAGTACCCAAGTTTACAACCTCAACTGGCTCTTCATGCGATTGTATAGCCTTTTCCTCTTGCACTAATAGTCTGACAAGCTCTCCATGTATTTCACAATCTTCCTCACCTTCGTCCTCGGCTTGGTAGATCGGATTTTCAAAGTCATAAGTGGCAATAGCAGAATTGTTATCAATGGGATCCAGAGTGGATGTGGATTTGCAATTTATTATATGGGTGTGTGTAAGAACATATAGCTATTTTTTAAAGAAAAGAAAAGTAAAAGAAAGACAAAGAGCATAAAATTTGAATGCAAAACATCCAATGATTTATTAAATGAAGATATGATAATAAAATGACAATCCTAACAAATGGACCGTTGTGCCCTAGGTAAGACACAAGGCTTAAAGTTATTATTTAGAGATTACATAAACTAAACTTTGAAAACAATAAAACAGAAAGTAGCATTTACTCCTGACTAAAGGAGATTGAGATTAGGTCTTCAGTCTTCCAGTTGTTGAGCCCATTGCCGATGGTGGGAAAAATCCAGTTGTCTAGATCATTTTCACTGTCAGAATCTTCTATAGAGTTGAATCCATTATTGCTGATGCGGAATGGTGTCCTTCTAGCACGAGCATGAAGAATAGCCCTCTGAGCCTCTGCAGTGAAACCTAAACCAAATTTTCCAGATTTGTATGGAATGTCAGGAAGCTGACCCCAAGTAGTACAACCACCTTCTTCTACTACAGCTCTGGTATCCTTCAGTGAATCCATTCTCAGAGGAACCCTGGTAACCTTGGGAATAGAAGAAACACCTTAAGTAGTGGTATGAGGGATGACTTCAAAAGTCTGACAGGGACTCTCGATGAATTCGCCGTCCATCTCTACATACCTGAATGAATTCAAGTGGCTTACCATGTATTCTTCTTCACCGCAAACAGTAGCAACCTTTCCTTTCATGGGATATTTCATCTTTTGGTGTAGGGTTAATGTAACATCACCTGCCCCATGAATCCAGGGGTGTCCAAGTAAACAGGAGTAGGCTGGTCGAATATTTATTACATAAAAAGTATAGTCGAACACCTGTGAACCTACCTTGACCGGGAGATCCACCTCTCCGTGCACCATCCTTTTTGAACCATCAAAAGCTAGGACTATAATATCATTGGGTTTCAGCATAACCCCTTCACAATCAAGTCTGTCAAGAGCACCCTTTGGTAGAACATTCAGCCAGGAACCCGTATCAATCAATACATGAGCCAGAGTAGTGCCCTTGCATTCAATAGAGACATACAAGGCCTTGTTGTGGTTTCTTCTTTCGAAAGTCAAATCGGCATCAGAAAAGCCTAGCCCATTGTCAGTGGTCAGGCTAGCAACATAACTTCCAAATTGATCGGCAGAAATTTCTTGTGGCACGTGAGCAGAATTTTAGAACACAATAACAGAGATAACATGGAGATTTTAGAGGGGGTCTACCCTAGCTGTTCGAAAATCTTGTAATCACTTTTTTGGATGATCTTCAATACCTCCTCCAATTCTTTCATGGAAGTATCTTCGACAGTGACTTCTTTAGGTGCCTCTGTCTGGGCAGGCTCCATCATTTGTTCTTTGCCCCGAGTCTCAGTAGTTGACTCGATAGCGGTAACACGAATTGGTGTGGCAGCAGTTTTTGGAGAGATTTCTGGAGAGAAAACCCTTCCACTTCTATTAACCTTACTGGTCCCCGCTGTAATACCCCAAATTTGTCCTACCCTTTTACTTCTATCTAGCTTATGCATCTCTCACTTTTCTCATGTATATAACCTTCATTAGGTCATCTAACATATCATGCATCATTAGTCAATAATTTGGAATGAGATCAGGGATTTTGAGGAATTAAGGTTTCTGTATGGCTTTAAGACTCTCATCTTCATTCAAGCTCGAACCAATTGATTCATTCATCAATCAGAATTTGTTTGAAGCTAGGGTTTTAATTCATGAACCCCTTTGTCACCAAGCTACAAGGACATTTTTATCATGGGCTTTTAAGCCACCATGGTTCATCTCAAAGAAGCTTATGGTTTTGTGATCACCATCATTCATATGCTTCTAATTTCTCCTATCTACAAGGTTTTCCTCAAGACATTTGCTTCAATATCATTAGTCATTGAAACGAGGTGCCTTTGCAAAGTGAATTACAAGATTTAAATCATGATACAAAGGTGATGTTGTGGATGCATAATATGATCAATGCATCATTATTATTTCTTGCTTAAATTACAAGAGGTGAAGTTAAGATGGAAATTAAGAGTTTTTGCAAGAGGCGAGATTGATTTGGTTTGGCTCTTATGGATTCGTTATTTAGAATCACTTGAAGTTCTACCTAATGTCATATATTAAATTTGTTTGAAGTTTGCAAAATAAGAAGTGCATTTGGATTTCTTGAAGAACAAGTGAAGTTATAAAAACTTTAACAAAGTATGGTCATGAAATTAATAAAGATTCAAGTTGAATTTAACATGGTTGTAGTCAAACAAGGTTTATTCAAAAGTCACCATACTCAAAACTATTACCACATACTGTTACAAATGTTACAAAATATTTCAAGTTCTATTCCATTTGAGCCAAAGATCCTAGAATACCTAATCTTTACCCAACTTTGTCTTCCATCTTTTGTCCTCACATAATCATCAACTTTGTGATATGCCATGCTTTAACCAATCTTCACCTTCTCCATAACTTAGCTTCAATCTTCACGATCCAAACTCCCTTGCAAAGTTTAATTAATTATTGCCTACATTGCAAAATCCACGACATCAAGAACAAACATATACCAAACACCAATATCTATGTATCAATTCATAAACCAAAGCTCATACATTCACATACTTTTAATACATACAATATTCATATCACATAGCCAATTACATACACTCATATTACAAATTAGATCTAAAATAACTCAAAAGTCATTCAAATATAAAAACAACCCTGTAACATTGCATTATCCAAACCAATAATCATAACAATCATTTTCTGTCTCTGAAAAACAAAACATGTTCTCATTTCTCTCTCTACATATCCCTAGTTCTTCCCCCTCTTTAATTTTTTTAAAGCTTTCTTGTCACAAAAACAGTTTCTTCAAGAGAAAGAGTGTGACCCTTTAACCAAAGGTTTTATCTTTAGTTCTGTTAGAGTTTGCTTTGTTTGAAAGAAATGGAAACACCTTGTGTTTCTGGTTATTTAGAATGAAAGTTTCTTACTTTCTTGTTTTGTTTATCTACTAAAGGTTTTTTGGTTCTTTGGAGTTTTGTTATCACTACTAGTGAATGTAGTTTTGAAATTCTGTGAAGAATGTTGGCCATCAGAAGTCCTATTACTAGTATCCATACAAGCACTACTTGCACTTCTTTGCTCAGGGAATTTGAGCAGATATGGAACGATATTGGAGGGACAGAGAAGGATAAAGATCGAATGTTGATGGAGCTAGAGAGAGGATGTTTAGATATTTATAGGAGAAAAGTTGACGAGGCTTCCAACACAAAAGCACATTTTCATCAATCCGTTGCGGCCAAGGAAGCCGAGATTGCTACGCTAATGGCTTCACTTGGTGAACATGACATTCACCCTCCGATTAAGACCAATAAAAGATTGGCGTCCTTGAAGGAGAAACTCTCATATGTCACACCATTGGTTGAAGAATTGAAGAAGTAAAAAAAAAGAAGAAAGGTCGAAACAATTTGCAGATATTAAAACTCAAATAGAGAAGGCTTCGGCAGAAGTGGAAAAACTTGCCAAACTAAAAGCGAGTAGAATGAAAGAACTTGTCTTTAAGAAGAGGTCAGAGTTAGAAGAAATATGTATATTGGCTCATATTTAACTTGATAAAAGTACTGCTATAAATAAAGATAGATATTAATAGAATTTTTGAACACCTAACTGATTTTGCTTAATCATCATATCTGCCTCTAACAACAACCCTTTTTCCTCCTAACTAATTGTAACCAACTCTCACTCTCCTAACAGAGTCCTAACTGTCAAATCCACTTCCAACCCTCTAACTGTCTAACAGGAAACCAATAACAAAATTCATAACAATTTTTTTATAACCAATTTCCCAACAACAATTTCTAACTGCATCAAACTCCATAACTACATTGCATTCCTAAACTAACAACTCTAAAAATTTCACTTCTCTACTAACTGCTTTATAACATCTCAACTAACTATCTAATTTCTGTTACACTAACAACGGATCCAATGTCAGAAAAGAGAGGAGGAGGATAACATATTTCATAATAGAAAAATTCACACAGAAAAAACTCGGTTCACTGATTGAATTCAACGAAAATCACCAGAAAATCTTAACTCTTCTTGCCTCTCATCTTCTCTCTTTGAATCTCCATCTATACTCTATCTTCAACCTTCGATTATCACCTTCAATTTCCCATCACACTCTCTGAGAAATTCCACACACCACAACCTCCATCTTCTTCAATCTTCATCACTGAATTGCATCAACCTTCACTAATTCTTCAACCTTCTTCAACGTAACAACAATTAGAGCACACATCATTACACCAACAAACACTTCTAGTTCGTAAACCTCGACCAATCTGCAGTATCTTCATTGCACTGAATCCTAAGTAGCTTCGATCCATATTGCTTCCTTGCACCATCATAACAGAAACTCAGTGAAACAGAAACATGAACAAGAAAAGAACACAGAGAATCGAGCACAAGAAGAAGAAGAAGAAGAATTCAGAGTTCACCTAATCAAGAGTGAAAAAAATGAATACCTATGGAGTGTGCAGCTTGGAGCAGGGTTTTTGGTTCCGTTACTATCGCAATTGAAATTCCATCGGAGCGTCTCCGATAGGTAACTCCCGCACTCCCTCTTTTCTTCATCTTTTTGATTATCTTGTCACCTCTGTGAAGTATGAAGCACAGTGAATTGTTCCTCTAAGATCTCTTGATCCAATTCGCCACCATTCGGATTTGATTGCCATTTCAGTGGACTTAGGGTTTGTTACGTTTGGTTAGATGTAGAAGAATTGAGAGATAATTGGAGAAAACAAATCGGATGGTTGGAAGGAGGAAGAAAGGACGATCTTATTTGGTTTGATTTGAAGACCTTTGGGCTTGCTCCGCTGCCGGAAGCGATTTTCGGCCGGCGGAGATCTCACTGGAATTTTGAGAGAGAAGAGAAGAAGTTTGTGCGTAGAAGATAGAATGTCACACTTTTACCCTAATCCTTTTTCAATTGAACTGAAGTAAAAAAAATAATAGAATGGATATTTGTTGAAATAGACCGAAAGTCCATTAGGTCCATGTTTTGTTTTTTGGCAGAATCTCAACCCCCCCCCCCCCTCCTTTGCATCGGCCCATTTTTTTTTGTGTTGACATATTACAAAGAGTGAGAACAAAAAACTGATGTTTGGACTAGCAGAATGGGCGTAGAGCTATTTACTGTTTCACACCCCTGTATTCCAGTTGGCACCCCTGATCTTACTTTTCCTTTGTTAGATTTAGGATTTAATTTTTTCTATTTTTGTTATGATAGAAAACATAAGATCAATAAAAAATGGTAGATTTTAATAAAAAATTTAGTAATTAATTATTTAGTTTTTTAGAATTTTACTTGCATAAAAAACTAATAATAAAAAAAACACTTTTTATTTCTTGTTTTCATCCGTATTTTCATGCCGTGTTATTTTTGACGCGTTTGTTCATTGTGCAAGGTACATTTTTATGCTTTCTATCATGTGACATAACAAGTTGTCATGTGATCGAGGCATATGGATTATGCTCACCTCTGATGCAGCGTGCTTTATTTCTCATCGTCCTGAGAAATTCATCTCGTATTATATGTTGTCCTGATGCATGTGATATTATATGATGCTTTGTGCAGGAACTTCTGATTACGCATTGCATCCTGTAACGCGGTGGGAGAACTGACTTAGTTGTTTTGCGTTTGATCGTAAATGTTGCGGTTTAGCAAGAGTCGTCACCGAATTTTATTTTATCCAAAATGAAAGGCTGAAAAGAACAGGAAAGACCTTTGAGATGTTTTCTTGAGTTCGGGGGGGGGGGGGGGGGGGGGGGGGTAGATTATGAAAAGGGAAGGTAGTAGCACCCTTTTCATTCGTAGTTATCTACGGGATCTTAGTTGCTTGCTAGATCACTTTATTTTTTTTGAAAATGTTCTTTGTATGGTTTTTGAAAATATTTTGAAAATATCTTTGTAATGGTTCTCGTTTCTAGAAGAACGCGTACAAAGTGTTGTTTTGAAAGTAGTTCAAAAAGGTGTTTGTGGAGTGTGTTTTTGAAAGTGATTTTGAAAAGGGTTTTCTTTGTAATGGCTCTCGTTTCTATAAGAACGCGTACAAAGTGTTTTAACTTTTGAAAATGTTTCAAGTTTGTAAGATATTTTGAAAGTGTTGGCGTTTGTTTTGAAAATAGAAAGGATGTTTTAGTTTTGAAATTGAGCAAGCAACTAGGAACGATCTACCTACTCAAAAGGTCTTTCATGTTTATTTCCTCTTTCCTTTGACATTGTTATCTTACCATTTATTTGGTAAGTAACCCTATCTTTGGATGTAAAAGGGACGGGCATGGGTCATCGTATAACCATGATTAGCAACATTGTAAGATATCTTAGCATTTTCCTTAAGGGACTAAGATCATTTTTGAAAGGCAACTTTGATAGCGTCATCGAGGGACTATGACCTTGTATTTTATTTGTTTTTGCTAAGATACTTCACATGCATAATATGGCCATTTTATAAGGCAATAAAGTGGGTTTACCTTAAGGGTGTATGTGTGCAGGTGTATTGGTTTACATGCTTGATTTGTCTTGATTATGGTTTGCTATTTGTTGGTTTTAATTCTTTCCATACAAACCCTAATCACTAGAATTTGTATATAAAGCATTAAATTGCGAGAAATAAAAATAATAAGCTATTACATCATTAGGGGAGGGGTGTACAAATTTACAAATTGGGAAAATTGCAAGAAAATTAAAACCCTAATTATCCATTACAACCATATTGAACTTGAATAAATGTACAAGAAATGAAATGAATATAATGTACAAGTATGAATAGATAAGGAATAAATTTTTTTGTACTAAAAGTTTTGATCTAATTAAATTAAAATAAAATAATTGAATAGAATAAGAAAATTAAAATTAAGTTAATAAAAGAAATTAATTTATTAAAGAAAACAAGTTTTTTAGGGTTTTTTTTTTTGTGAATTTGATTAAATTAATAAATAAAATTAATTAGATAAAAGTCCTAAGTTCTAAATTGATTTTAACTTACAAGAAAATAATATATAATAATTAAGACTAATTATCTAAGTATTTAAAAAAGGGAAATTAATTTTATTAAAGAAAATGTTTTTTTATTCTTTTGTTTTATGAAGAAAAATAAACTAAATAAATATGAATAATAAAATAAAAATATTTTTTTGGATTTTTATTAATAACAATAAAAATAATATTAATAATAATAATAATAATAATAATAATAATAATAATAATAAAGAAAATAAAATTAAAATAAAATATAAAGAAAAAGTCAGGGAGGTGTGAAATTAAACTTGGGAATGTGCACTTTCTTCCTAAAATCAAAATAAGCATGGGCAATGCATTAAATGCTTGAGTTGAAGCCTCTAACAACTGTGCAAAAAATTAATTATGGAGTGCCAAACAAGTTTGAGGCCTGCAAAGCAAATATTGTGCAGCCTAAACATGGATTTGAATTCTTGCTCATCATGAAATTGACCTATAATTCAAGAATGAAATGCCAACTTCATGTCTTCGATTCTCCTTGATCAAACATGATCTCAAAGAGTTCTTGGATATTTTAGAAAGCTTGTAATATGCTCTAAAACCCCTCTTTGAATCACTTTTGAAAATTCCCCTTGGAACTATGTGAAAAATTGCCATGAAGTTAGGTCAAAATCCTGCCTAAACTAGGGCAAAATTTTCACTAAGTGTTTAGTTTCATGAACATGTATTCACAAAATCATAAATTGAAATCCATGCATTTCTAGTAGAAGTTGTGTAAAGAAATGTTTTAGATCTCATTGATATCTACAACTTTCATGTTGAAAGTTTCCTTTGAATCATCTTGCATCATGGTGAAAAATTGGCTTAAAGTTGTAAAAAAATATGAAGTTTTCAACACTTAGAAAAATTTCAAAGTTTGAAAATTTTGACTTTTCAAAATGAAATCTTGACTTTTTTATTTCTTGATGAACAAGTTTCATATTTTGGCATGTTTTGATGAATTGTTATCTTTGACACTTGATTTTGACCAAAGAGTCAACGTTTGACTTTTTAGTGTACAATTGACTTTTGATCAGTTGACTGAAAATCAACTATCAATCAAATGACCTTGAGCAATGTTTTGATTCATTCCATTAGGTCAAAATGATGCAATTTAATCCTTGAGATCATGTCTCAATCCTATTAACCATTTTCTAGGTCAAAAATCAGAAATTGCCCTTTCTCAGTCAAAACCCTAATTTTAACCATTTTCCCTTTTGATGATCTGATCAAATTTCTTGTTCAATATCAAACCCTAATTATCCTTGTGCAATCTCAAACCCTAATTTCAGTCATCAATACTTAAGGAGGTGTCTTGAGCTGATCAACCCTTATGCAGTCTTGAACTAAAGGAGATCTTGTGAGAAAATACTTGATAAATGAGAGGGAAAATTTTGGGGTACAACAACTTTCCCCGTTCAATCTTCTTAAACCTGGAGAGTTAGATTGGCGGATCTACCATTCGTGACTTGAAAGTGGAAGATGATTGGACACAAGAGTGCCCAGAAATTTTCACTCGAAGATGGATTGTAAATGGGCTTATAGATGCCATTTGGAGGAATGGTGGAGGTTTGCTGGAGATGGGCTTGTAGATGCCATCCAAGGGTTACTATTGACAGAAAGTGGACTAAGTCTGATCTTGATTTCAACTGGAAAAGAATCACAACAAATATTTGGAGCGATTTATCTGAACCAGGAGAAGTCTTGTATGTTGCTTGACTGGGAAGAGTCAGAGTAAATCTTGGAGCGATTTATCTGAACCAGAAATGTTAATTTGGAAAGCATCAGGATAAACCATTGAGAGATTTAAAACTGAACCAAAAGAGGTCTTGAATATTCTTTAACTGGAGAGAATCAGAGTAGATCTTTGAGTGATTTATCTGAATCAGAGAAAGCGTCTGCGAGAAGGAATCAGAATAAACCATTGAGATATTTAAACTGAACCGACAAGGATCTGGAGAAGAATCGGAACAAATCATTGAGAGATTTATCTGAACCAGAGAAGACGTCTGCGGGAAAGAATCAAAATAAACTGTTGAGAGATTTAAACTGAACCGATAGGGATCTGGAGATGAATCAGAACAAATCAATGAGAGATTTATCTGAACCAGAGAACGCATATGCGGGAAAGAATAAGAATAAACCGTTGAGAGATTTAAACTGAACTGCCAGGGATCTGGAGAAGAACCAGAGCAAATCATTGAGAGATTTATATGAACCAGAGAAGACGTTTGCAGGAAAGAATCAGAATAAACCGTTGAGAGATTTAAACTGAACCGACAGGGGTCTGAAATAAATATCTGTTAGGTAGATGGTTGACCAGTCTTTTCTTGGGAATTGATCTGTAATTGACTTGTTGAAAATTTGACGGTGATTTTCTGTTGATTGATCTTTCCTGAAAAAGATGAATGGTTAGTTGCATGCAATGTCATGATGTATGAAATGCATGGTGCAATGATGTTCTCAAAATAAATGAGATTGTGTCGTATGTATTCATGTTGTCAATGCTATGACATATGGATGCAATGTATGGACATGTTAATTGTTATGCCGCAGTGTTGCTGGAGTCAGGGAA